TATTGAGAAAATTGTCGCGAACAAATAATAAACATTAAAAAAATAATTAATTTTTTTAAAGAATAAACTCTCACACTAAGGGTCTAATGGCATTTTTGTATGTAGACAAAATATCTTTCCACCTTGACAAAAAGTCAAAAATAGTGTGCTACCTAAAGGATTTGATTCATTTTCATTCCAAAACAAAACAAATGAATAGTGATGGTAGCATTTGTGAATAGAATATCAAATTAGACAATTACAAAAATTATTATATTGTATAATAATTACAATTAAATATGTTGCCTCCATATAAATATTATTTAATTAAAATTGAAAAAATTAAGTTTTATCATAAAGATAAAAGAACTAGAAAGAATTTTAAATTGAAAAAAATATATTTATATGATGAACAAAACAAATAAAAAAAAAGATAATTGCGAAAACTAAATAAAGAATATATAAATATTATTTAATTAAATTTGAAAAAAAATTGAATATTGGAGGACATTACAACCCAACCCATAGTGGAAGAGATGAGAGAAATATCCATATTGCCCTTTTTTTCCCACTAATGGCTTCTTTAATAAATTTAAAATTCGTTTTAAAAAGAAATTTTATAACTATTTTAAAAAATATATTAAAAAAATAAATTAAAAAAAAAAGAAAATTACAAAAATTAAATAAAAATATATATAAACATTAATTAATTAAAATTAAAAAAATTAAATTTTATTATAAAGAGAAAAAACTAAAAAGAATTTTACATAAAAAAATATTTATATGATGAACAAAAAAAAATTTAAAAAAAATGGAGAAAAACTCTCTTTAACATGATGGAGAGAATAACACGGAGAAATTCTCTCCGTGTTATGGAGAGATTTCTCTCATAACATGGGGAAAATTGGATATTTTTTTTATTATTTATTTTGCTCATTGTACAATTTTTTTCTATTTAAAATTATTTTCTCTTTACAATAAAACTTAATATGTTCAATTTTAATTAAATAATATTTATATATTCTTCATTTAATTTTTGTAACTTTCTTTTGTTTAATTTTTTTATTATATAGATTTTTTTTTTTTGAAATTTGTACTCTAGAACATGGTCCAATTTTTTTTTTCTTTTGTTCTTTTTTTTATTTGTTCTGTTCATCATTTAAATTTTTTTTGTCGAATTATAATTTCTTTTTTTTCTTTATGATAAAATTTTATTTTTTCAATTTTAATTAAATGATATTTATATATTCTTTATTTATTTTTCGTAACTTTCATTTTGTTTAGTTTGATTTGTTTTTATTATATTTTTTTAAATTTTTTTTAATTTCTTTGTCTTCATATTACAAATAATTACGTTTCTCTTTTTAGAATTACGTTTTCTCATAAAATTATGTTTTATCATATATTTTAAATTTCTTTTTTCCTTTTAAAATTACGTTTTATCATAAAACAAAAAGAATTTTGAATCGAAAAAAGTTATTTATGATATGAATAAAAAGAAATTTAAAAAATATATATAATAAAAACTAAATAAAGATTATTTAATTAAAAAGAATTTAAAATCGAAAAAAAATATTTATATAATGAACAAAACAAATTTTAAAAAAAAAATGGAGCTCTGTGTCACTCTCCATGTCATGGAGAAAAACTCTCCACAACACGAAGAGGTTAATAATAATAAAATAAAAAATACATAAAATAATAATAATAATGATGATGATGTAATGCACGTGAAAATATACTGTAATTGAGCATATAACGTAAAAAAAATATCATGATAATTAATTGAGCTTTGTCTTTACTGTTACTTGATGAATTTTAAAGTTGGGATATTAATTATGGACATTGATAAAGCCTAAATTAAAAAAGAATTATTTTATATCATAAAATGAAAAAAAATTAAAAAGAATTCTAAATCTGAAAAAATTTATTTATAATATGAAGGGAAAAGAAATTTTAAAAAATATATATATATATATAATAAATTAAACAAAAGAAATATACAAAAATCAAATAAATAATATTTAGTTGAAATTTTAAAAAATAAGTTTTATCGACAAAAGAATTAAAAAAATTATTAGTAATATAAATAAAACAAAAAAAGAAAAAATAAATAGATAATGGAAACAAACGGAAAAATTCCTCTCCATAACACGGAAAGAGATATCTCCGTGTTATGGAGAGGAGCTCTCGAAATTTTTTTTTCTTTTTTTAAAATTTGTTTACATTTTTTTTTATTTAAAATTCTTTTTAATTCTTTTATTTTTATGAAAAAAGTTAATATTTTTAATTTTAATTAATTAAATAATATTTATATATTCTTCGTTTTATTTTAATAACTTTCTTCTGTTTAATTTTTTTTAATTATTTTAAAAAATATATTTTTCTTCATAAAATTTTTTTGTTCAATTTTAACTAAAAAAACTTTACAATGATTTTTTTTTTTATTTTTGCCTTTTTTAAGTCAGAATAAAGTAGTATAACGTTTTAAAAAACGAACAAAATGGCAAACAGTAACTGGGCACGACGCCGTAGAGAACAATGCCACAACAAATAATAATATTTATATATTCTTCTTTTAATTTTCTTAACTATTTGCTTTTTCCCCTAATTTAGCTTGAAACTTTTTGCTTCTTTTTTCAGTAAGTTGGAAGCAAGGATTAAATAATATTTATATGGAGGCAAGATATTTAACTAATAGAAATTAAATGATTTAACTAATTAAAGAACAAAAAAATAATTGCAGGTAAAAATTAAAAAGAAAGTTATTATAAATTTTTTTCATTAAATTGGAATATTTAAAATTAAAAATAAATATTATTTAATTAGAATTGAAAAAAATTAAATTTTATCATAAAACAAAAATAATTAAAAAGAATTTTAATTTGAACAAAAAATTATTTATAATATGAAGAAAAAAATTTAAAAACAGTTTTCAAAAAATATATAATAAAAACAAAACAAAGTAAACAAAAGAAAGTTACGAAAATTAAATAACAAATATATATATATATATATTTAAAATTTCTTTTTAAAAAGAATTTTAAATTGAACAAAAAATTATCTATAATATGAAGAAAAAGAAATTTTAAAGCAATTTAAAGAAAATATATAATAAAAACAAAACAAATGAAACAAAAGAAATTTACGAAAATTCAATAAAAAATACATAAATATTATTAATTAAAATTGAAAAAAATAAGTTTTATCATAAAGAGAAAAGAACTAAAAAAAATTTAAATTGAGTATTTTCTGTGTATATAAATTTTAGAGGATTAAATTCAAATATATCAAAGTTGGGCAATTAAATAAAAATCTCAACCCCATTTAAGTGATAAAGTATTATATTGTAACTCAGCTTGAGTTTGGGTCCATTAATTTTTTTTTTCATTTTCCCTCTTTTATTTTCAATCGCAGAATCTTCCATAAAATAATATTACACGTAAATAAAAACTTTTCATTAAATCTATTGGATATTGAACAATAAAAAAAATTCGATTAATTACATGATTTAATTATATTGAATATAGTTATCATCAAATACGTCATTTATATTTAAAATAACAACTCAAACTAAAATAATATTTGATATATAAATTATGAGCTCCAATAATTTGGATTTTTAATCCATGCATAATGGGAACATTTATCATATATCTAGAAAATACATTTCAATTATAGCAACACAAAATTGAGGTCAACCAATTTTTCATCTTGATTATTTTAACATCTGAAAAAATTTGATATATAAAAGAAATTTGATCATTTTTAGGAATTTTTTTCTTATTGTTATTTTTTCCTGTCGATCAATTAATTTTTCAAATAATCCAATAACAATTTTGACGTCATTTAGAAAGCTTTCTAATAAACTTTTAATTTTTTTTTAATGTCAAAAGTGTGTCATATATGAAGATTACATTTTCATTTATCATTTTAAACAATTAATCAAATTTATAGATTTATTGAGAGAAATGAATAAATATTTTGACACTTTAATATTACCTAAAAAATGAGATAGCGCGTGCATTGCAAGGGTGAAAAACTAGTATTTTAGAAAATGGAAAAAGTTCACATTTCCCAATGTTGGGTTGGGGTGGGGGAGGAAAGATGCAAATTTTCCTTTTGTTAATTTTTTTAACTTTTTTTTTTTTGGGGGTTAGACTCGCATATTTTAAAAAATAATTTGGGCATCTGACTACAATTATATCTTAATATTTTTTTTTCTTTTCATTTATTTAAAGAGGAGCATAAATTTGTGATTTTACAAAGCTTTATAGAGAAAAATGATGAAAATGTTATATTCCACAAAGCTTGGATGATTTAGAGGGTTTTGACCAAAATGAAAGGTTAGAGGGATATTGCGCTATAATAAAAGATTGATGGGGTATTGCACAAAATATGTAATGTTATCAGGGTATTGCACCAAAACCCCTTATATTATTGGTATCTTTACTATTTTTAACTCATAAACTAACGGAATTGGGCGATGGAGGATTTTTCGCACAGAAAATACCATTTAGGGGGTATTCCGTCAAAATGACAAGACGGAAGTATTACACAATAGAGGCAAATTTTAGGGAGGCTTGGCAGCAATTATCCATAAATTAAGGAAAAAAGTAGTAATGAACAACAAATTATTGAGGACTACACATTTCATTTAAACTAAACATTTTAATTAACCTACAAGTATTATCCACTTATTCATTTTTCATTTCTATGAAACAAATCGCTCATAAATTCTTCTCGTTGGAGGCTTAGATAGTTTCTATCCAGAAGGACGAAAGTGCACCTAAAATGAAAGGTTAGATTTAAATGCCAAAGACCTTAATATTGGGGATCGCACATGAAACCAAACCCCAACAAAGGCCAAAAATTGAACCAATAATCTCAACTGGATAGGCTTATCCAACTATAACCCACGTGGCACCTCCTTAATGGGATTCCATAATCTCTACAAAGAATCCCTGAGTGCCACGTGGCAAGCCAAGATCCTTTGAAAAATGATCAAAATACCAATGCATTTTATTAGCTTGGCCCTTCACATTTCAGATTTAGACTGATTAGCATATCCAATGGCATCCTTGGCAACCTTTGCTGCAGTGCATCCCTCCAGTGTTAAGGGCCTTGCTGGGAGCTCCCTTGCTGGAACTAAGCTCCATGTCAAGCCATCTTCCCTAAGAGTTAAGCCCACAAACTCCAGGTAACAATTCTCGATTCCAATTGTTGAACTACCTCGTCTAAAAAGGAGATGCATTTATTAATAATACCTCCGTCCCATAAAGATACTCCCGTTACTTTTTTCACACATATTAAGAAAACAATAAATTTTACTACCATTTTTTTAATATATACTTCGATTAATGCAATGCAATGCAATGTTCAGGGTAATTAAACTATTTTTGGTACTAGTCTTTGTTTAATGCTATAATCAAGATAATTAACATTGCAAAGTCATCTGAGACGGAAGAAATAAAAAATTGCCAAAACTTGAACGTTAAAATAAAAAAAAAAAAAAAAAAAAAAAAAATCAAATCGAGCAATGGCCTTACTGATTTGTTCACATCGTGATCTATGGTCTAGGATTATATGTATGGTCTTTCAATTTCTTACTCATGGTTTAAGACAATGATGACAATGGTTGGTGGTGGGCCATTTTTATGCTCCAAATACAAATGAATAAATGTCATGGAAGATGAAACCCTTTTTTTTTTTTTGGGTTTTAATTTATTGCTTCGACTATAATTGAATAATGGAGTGGCTTATACTTGTGATAACAAAACACATTAAATATGAGCATATTGGGAATCTAATATATTAACTACGCTCTCAAATAAGAAATATGACTATAATTTGGGCAGACATAAAAGGAAAACAAGATTATCTTTATGGAGCGGAGGTAGTATGAATTTGAATCGAGCCCCGTGTCTTCTTTGATACAACATTGAAACCACCTTAGTCATTCGTATGTGAACTAATTTTTCATGATTTTGAGTCGAAGGCAGCAATTATGTTACACTAATCACATTCGCGTATTTCTTGGTGACAACTGCCTAGAATATGTGAAGTTTGATGGTGTTGAATCTTACACTATGGTTTTGTTATGCAGGGCTGGTGCTGTGGTGGCAAAGTATGGTGACAAGAGTGTATACTTTGATTTGGAGGATTTGGGCAACACCACTGGCCAATGGGACTTGTATGGATCAGATGCACCTTCACCATACAATCCCCTTCAGGTATATATGTCTATCTTGAATATAAAGGTAGCAGTGTCCAACCGGGTCGAGCCGGCTGGACTGAAAAGTTCAGTGCTAGGCTAGTATTATAGTATAGTTTTGTTGTTGACATTCATTTATGCTAACAGAGCAAGTTCTTTGAGACCTTTGCTGCTCCTTTCACCAAGAGAGGTCTATTGCTCAAGTTCTTGATATTGGGAGGTGGCTTCACCATTGCTTATGTGAGCTCCAAAGCAACAGGAGACGTTCTACCGATTGTAAAGGGCCCACAACTACCACCCAAGCCTGGGCCACGTGGCAAAATATAATTTCCTCGGTATCACATTTTCAATCTTTTAAATTACTTGTGTTCAATTTTTCATTTCATCAGCATGTGATGTAAGTATATCAGAATCTACATGTGACTGTTTATTATTACATGTATTTCAGTACCATTCTAGTTGTATCTGATTCAACCATAAAGTCTCTAATAACTTTAGTTCGATTTCAAAATAAGTCACAATATAATCCATGGAGTACAATTCAGCATATACTTCCTATTTACAGAAGGAGCACTAGAACTTTACTAGATCCTCTATGGCATGACCAAGTTGTGTATGTACATTAGGATTGAGCTCTTTTGCTAGAGTCGAGTTCTGTCAGTTAGTTGTCCGTTCTGATGGTTTCATTCTCCAACAGAATCAATTAATGGCGAGCTGTTGGACTTCTTGTACACCTTAAGTTGTCTAGCCTCTCTATGAAGGAAAATTTTTTGTTCATCACAATTTTAGCCGGTTTAGTGAGGACCTTTGAATCAACATCTTTTTTGGCATCAGACTCTCCTTGATCAAAATTCCATCCCATGAAATCCAAGAGTGTCATTGAAGTTGGCGTCTCATCTGAATTTGTTTTATCTAATTCTTCATTAGGATTTGGAAATTTCACGGTAACAGGTGAAGGGTCTTTTAAGGGGTACTTCTTTTGTTCTCCATTTGATGGATTCTGTGCCAAGAGAGTCGGCTTGCATGACATCATCTATTCTTGACAACACTCTGAATGCTAGACTTTCAATTATTCTTGAATAGCTTTCTAGAATAGCTTGTCCCACGTCCTTCATGACCGAGAAAAGACGAAAAATTTAACCAAAATGAACAATAAGTTCCTGTTTGGTATACACTACTAGATAGGTCACAATAGAATTATGAACAAGTTTTGAGTTTCTTTCTTCTTTCTGCTTTTATACTGTCCAACACTACTCAATCTTCCCCGCCAAATATGCCATAAGTTACGAGCTAGTTTCTGTAGAACGAGTGACTTAAACAAAGAGCTTAAAAGGAGTAAAGTGAACTTCTTACTCGGTTGCATTGGATTTTACTGATGTCGAGAGAAGATTGAGGAATTCCAGGAAACTGGTGCTTAAGAATGAGCATGATATTCTCTGCTCTGTCTTCAAAAAGTTATCTCTTCTCCAAACTCACGGCTGAACTCCAAGAAGACTTGCCATCTTTAGCATTCATTTTCCTTTTCCAGATTATCACAGACGCCTCAATCTTATTTTTGAAGTCGAGGATTTTATGCTCCAATGACAAGTCCAGAGTCGAAAGTAAAATATCCGGATCAAAGTATTCATCCATGATGCTCTTGTAGATCGAATCTCCAAGGCTTGATCTCCCATTCTGTCACGAAAAATTAGTTATTGTTGCTCTGTCTATTAATGTGTTCCAAACACGCTATAAACGTTTGCTCTAGTAACATAGAAATGCGATATAATTTTCAGGTTTCCTATTACCTTAGGAAGAGTATCTATGTAGCTTTCGGGAATCTCCATTTCCAATAACACCTGAGCGTTAATGGCCATTGCTACTTTGAGTACTTGGTTTACAGAATCCTTCTGAGACTTTTGCCACTTTCTTGTCGTCTCACTTAAGCCATTTGGAGGAACTTTAGGGGTAGGAATCCACCATTTGTCGTCTGTCCTTCCATCGGTATTCTTTGCGTAGTAGAACTCGTTTTGGTCTTTAAAGTTATCAAGGCAATCCTGCTTATCATTGGCACTATGAAATTAACCAATGCCAAAGAAATGAACTAACACGAAAGGAGATTTGTTCTCTTACTAGTAGCACAGCATTGAGCTTTCGTAGGGCAGGGATGTTCATTTGGAGATCTGATCGTTGCTTTGTCACCATAATCTGATAAAGAATGAAGAACCTTGCGTACTCAAAAATGGATTGATAAACACGAGTTCCATAGATAGTCTTGCTCCAATGAATATGCCTCGGGAAACATTACGAAGGAGAGAGAGAGTTACCTCCATTTGTGTTCCATCTTTCCACCTTTGTTATGAAGGCACGAATTCAACAATGTAATCTGCGACAGATAGGAGCCAGTCAATCTCTTTTTTCCATCTTGCTTTGGTCTCTGGTGCCATGGGTTCTAATCTCTTTTGTTCTCCAAATGCAGAGGCTGGATTTGCTCAAGAAAATAAAGAATAACGAAGAACTCAGAAAAGACTTTGTGCGACATTCAAATTCTGCAACAGTACATATATAATAAAACTCAAGTAATTTGTCATTCGACTAATTTCTTATGCAAAAACTCCCTCAAGAAGAGAGAAATTGACAAACAAAATTTTAATTTAATATTTTTCTAACATCTATAAGATTAAAAAATTCAAAATCCAGGAACCTGCTAAATTCGTGATAGCATTCGAAAGTGTCAAAGCCGATGAAACACCCTTTCCCCCACCGGACATATCCTCCCCGAGGAGCAACTTCGCAAACTTTTCCTTCATTTGCCCCATATCTAAATCATAGCCAAAATTTAAGATGGCAATTGTAAACAACATAAACTCAGATGAATATGATATACTATATGTTAAATAGATTGGGGACAAACTTTGAATCATATCTGCATACAAGCCGAGATTCATTTTATTGTCACTATATGTACAATTTCTTAATGGCTGACAACGAGACAAAACATTCGTTATGATACTATCTCATTTAAAAGTGAGTATATCTATCTCGACTTCATTCTATTAGAACAAATCTGGATTAAGACTCATGTAGCCGACCTAATATATTCATATAAACAACCTTTTGTACTCAGGATGCATAGCAGCACCTTAATTCCCAGACTTGAATGTATCAATCACCAATATGTGTACAACATGAACAAAACTTCGAACATTTTGAAAAAATAGAAAAATGAAAATTATAATTGACTTGCCTGAATGTTGTCTCTCTTTCATTCCATCGCTGCCCAACCGAGATTTAAGATTATCAGATCGGGCTTTTAGCTGTTCCTTTAGTAGATCATCTTCCGCCATCGCTCGAACCATTTTCTGATTCAAGCATAGTGAATATGGAATTAAATGAAGTAATAATTCACAAAACTGGAGAAAAGAATTGATCAATGAGATGGAAAAAGAAGGGAAAACCAGAGCTTCAATGTGATGCAGGGTGGAATTTTTCCTAAATTTTCTGAAAAAGTGAGACGTTGGATAATTTTTCCTTTTGGTTTTTGTATAATTTTTATCAAGTTTGGTACTTACAAAATAAAAAATTGATACTCACGTTATCTCTTCTAACGGTAACGTTGACGGCCTAAAGATTGTGAGTGACTGAGAATGATTTGTATGTAAATATACGAAAAAGAATAATATGTAACGTCTCCATACCTCATATATTTGCACCTTATTTATAGGAGCTATGGCGAATGACGAGTCTTCAAGTAAGTGTATAAATGCATCCTTATCCTTTTTAGTAGATCATCTTCCGCCATCGCTCGAACCATTTTCTGATTCAAGCATAGTGAATATGGAATTAAATGAAGTAATAATTCACAAAACTGGAGAAAAGAATTGATCAATGAGATGGAAAAAGAAGGGAAAACCAGAGCTTCAATGTGATGCAGGGTGGAATTTTTCCTAAATTTTCTGAAAAAGTGAGACGTTGGATAATTTTTCCTTTTGGTTTTTGTATAATTTTTATCAAGTTTGGTACTTACAAAATAAAAAATTGATACTCACGTTATCTCTTCTAACGGTAACGTTGACGGCCTAAAGATTGTGAGTGACTGAGAATGATTTGTATGTAAATATACGAAAAAGAATAATATGTAACGTCTCCATACCTCATATATTTGCACCTTATTTATAGGAGCTATGGCGAATGACGAGTCTTCAAGTAAGTGTATAAATGCATCCTTATCCTTTCTTAAAATCACATGTTAATTAAGAAGCGCGAGTGTACAAAAAATAATAGATTGACCAATACAAGAGTATTATTTATAATGGTTATAAGTATATGAGATGAACATCTTGCAGGGAAATTCGGATAAGAATGACTATACGTGTCTATTGTTGTGTGATAATTATAAGCGTATGATGATAATTAAATACGCATGTGTTTGAATTATCATTTTCATGATAACTCTATCTAACAATTGATTTTACCTATGCCTATGTCCTAACTTCTATTAGAGGGTGTTTAATTGACATGAAAAATATCACTTAGAAAAAAAATATGTCAGGGTAAACATCATAGCATTTCTATTAAGAAATATGAAGATTCATTTATCAACATTTGATTTAGTCGACCAAACGCTATTGGCTATTGTGATGTAAATAAATATTTGAGGGAAAAAAAAAATCTGGACAACAGTTGTCACCGATATTTGATCAATCGAGCCCCCCAAGGTACTCAGTTGTCCACCCATAATGGTCACGACAGTCTGATTTATCACGGTATAGGAGGGTGATCTTATTTCTGTTATCATCATAAATGAAATAAAGACTAATATTATTCATACCACGATTTTTATTTCTTGCACCACTTAAGGTTCTTAATCTTTGCTCATTATAGTCATTATGTCCCTAACAATTTTTTATGTTTTTATTACCCTTAAATTTTTCATTAGTTAACATATTTTTATTTGGTAATAAATTTAAGTCCATTAAAATGACATAAAACAACTTATGTTTAAAAATAAATAAATAAAAAGTACGAAAAAAGTATTTTTTTTCCTCATTTCAAATTGTAAAAATAAAATATTTCGAAATAAATCATCATCAAAGACAAAATATATTAATTAATGGAAAGTTGAAGATAATAATTCGAAGAAAAAAGTTAAAAAGATAATTGCTATAATTAGCAAGGATTGATGAGCTTAATTACAATTAGAATGTAGTGTATCAAATAAAAATTATGATGGCAATATAACCACCTTAAATGTGTTCAAGATTCATTTTAACTCAAACCAAATAAGTTATCTTGATATTATATATATGCTTGACATTTTGTTAAGATCATTGTTGACAAAATAATAAAACTTCAACAATACCTTATTCTCATTTCAACATCAAAAAATTCCTTCTAAAAATTTGGCTTGTACCCCTTTTTAACTTGGAACATCTATGATGCATTCCATCGTTATAAAATAAAATTACAGCAATGGAGAAAAAATAGATGAAAATAAAAATCCGACAAAAAAGCTTGAACATGAAAATTATATCG